AAAAAATTTCTTCCAAATACCTAACCTAAATCTCTCCTCTTTCAGTTTAAAGACATTTCCCTTTGTCCTATCACTGTCAGACCATGTAAAATGTTGGTTCCTCTCCTACTTGTTATCTCCCTTCACAGGTACTGGAAGGTTGCAATGAGATCTCCCCAGAGCCTACTCTTCTCCAGGCTAAACAAGCCCAACTCCCTCAACCTTTGTTCACAGGAGAGGTGTTCCAGCCCTTTGTCTTCATTGCCCTTCTCTGCACCCACTCCAACAACTCCTTCCTGTACTGGAGGCCCCAGACCTGGACGCAGTACTCCAGATGGGGCCTCACGAAAGGCAGAGAAGAAGGGAACAATCACATCCCTCTCCCTGCTGGCCATAAACACACCAACTGATAGCAACTGTACACTAAAGTAATATTGTACAATAATCACTGCATCTCACAGACTATGAGGTCAATCCTTCTCCCACTGAAGCCAGGAGTGAGAGTCACTTCTGCAGTACCTCCTCCCCCAGCATCAGTTTTCAAGCTGCAACCTGTACAGTTAGCATCGCTAACTGTAAACAGCATCAATTCAAGGGAAGGAAGGGTAGAAGAGAAGCACAGAGTTATCAGAAGTGTCCCCAGTTATCATCAAACTACCCAGACTGTGTCTTAACTCCTCCATGCAAACCAAAACTGTTCATAGATTTTTTCTTGGTTCTCTGCCTCCCACAGGTAACCTACCTATGGTTATATCAACAGCAGCAATCAATTTGTTAGGCTCAAACGAAAATAAAGCACAGAGAAACATAAAATGCTCCCTCTATGAGACATCAAAATTGCTAATATGAAGTTTTACAAGACTACTTACATACAAGACATTTTCTGTCCATAAATCTTGTAGAACTTTATTAACTTAGAAGTGCTGGGAGGCAGATGCCTTCAGCTTCACTCTTTGGAAGCAGAACATCAGACTTGAGGGGTGACCTGTTCAGTGTCACACAGCAGGTCAGTGTGTTCTACTTCAGCATTCCCAAAGCTACAAAGCCTCTGTTTTTGCTTTGCTTTTAGTTACAATTGTAGGAGGGAGGCCAGCCACACACTGCACAGGTTGAGCTCCGAGTCTTGTGTGAGAACAGCACTGCATTGGAATAATTAAACACATAGCATGGTTAACCAGCTCCTAAGATATCAGCTGGCATCTAAATTTCTTGTCTGAACTGATGAACAAAGGACAAGAATGCACGACACTGGAGAAAAGAAAGGGGAAGCAAAACTCTATTTTAAATGATAAACAACCCATGATAAACAACCAGTCCTCCTTAAAGCAGCCCACTCTGTTTTGCCCATGTGCCTTTTTTGTTGTTTTTATTAAGAGACTGGCAAGACCAAAACATTTACAAAAATAGGGGGGAAAAAAAAGAAAAGTTCGTTGATTAGCCTTTATTCCAAGAGTCTTATCCAGAGCTCCCAGTGCTGGCTGCTCAGAACAGCAGGAAATCCTAAGGGCTGGTGGAAGCACTGCAAGAGCTGAGCCATCGGGGCCTCCCCATGGGCCATCTCCCAACTCTTCACATCTGTAAGAGGGTAACTTCGGAGCTCTCAGCTCAGACCTCCCAGAAATGTGAAGGCAAAATGGGTGAGGCATTTCACTATGAAGGATGAGAAAATGAGCTGGAGAGTTTGTGGATAAAAAGATGGAGAAGAGAAAATCATAGAATCATAAAATTATTAAGGTTGGAAAGAACACCAATATCATCAAGTCCAACCATCAGCTCATCACCACCATCCCACCAAACCACTTCTCTCAATACCACATCTCCACATTTCTTGAACACTGACTCCATCACTACCTTGGTCAGTCTGTTCCAATCTTCACCACTCAATCTGCAAAGAAATTTTTCTTAATATCCAACCTGCACCTCTTCTGGCACAAATTAAAGCCACAATCAACACCCTCTCCCTCGACAAGCAAGATAAATATTTTAAGTCATGTAATGTAGAGCAGAATGAAAAACAAAACAAAACCATTACACACAACTGTCATATACAGAATCTTCTTTTTAAGAAAAAAAATGAATTAGTTATCCACAAATAAAAGATGACAGCAGTTTGGCACACTACTGTTCAGACTTCAGATATGCTATGAATGATAAGAAGACACAACAAAATAGAACAGAGTCAAATATAATGGAAAGTAGAGTGCAAAGAGAAGAAGTATTAGTAAAATATAGAAAACAAAACAGGCACAGAAGGAAATGAATGAGGTATAGCAAAGAATGAATGATGGAGAATGGAGAAGGCAAATGAGGGTCGTGTCTTGGTGCAGCTGATGACTTGGTGCAGAGCCATTGAGTGCAGAGCCTGCAACAGGTCAGTGACAGTGGATCTCAGCTGAGGATTTGTCCCTCTGCACAGAACCAGAGAAGGGTAATCAGACACCAGAATGCCCAGGTGTTCTCCACTCAGAAAATAAAGAGGCAACATAGCAAGGGAATAAGATGATATCAATAACAAAGGGGAATGCAAATTCCAGAAAAGAAGAAAGAAGCTAAACAGAAAAGTATGGAAGGAGAACAAGAAAGAAGAATATATAGAGAGGGCAATGGCAAGATTAGAAGAAAATATCCACAGGTTAGTGGAATACATTTCATTTATTCATGAGGTCTGTTTTATTATGTGTCCTTGGCAGGGATCCCGTAACTGAAAATTTGCAAAGCAGAGAATGATGCGAGTTTGGAGACTTGAGTCTTGTTTCTAGTCATTAGCCTTGAGCAGGGCTTTTTAATATATGTGCCCCAGTAGCAAGTAAACAAGTTCTTTAAACCAAGAGCCTTTAGGACGCATGCTGCAAACAAATGAGCTTAGGCAGAGCCAGAAAGGATTCCAGGAGAATAAGCAAACCTAGCCACAACCCACTTGCAAGTAACCAGGAGGATGGACAGGCTGCTAGGAAAGATGCTGCCCAACTCTGCTGCTCGCTCCAACTCCAGCTCACGTCAGCTTACACAGAGCATCTGTCTTTCACATGCACTCCTTGCTAGCTGGCATTTGCTACACTTGGGAGCATGTGGGGCTCAGTGCGCTCAGCTGGCAGAGGAAGGGCTGCACCCAGCTCCCAGCACACAGCATGCAGTGGCAGCAGCACTGGCGGCTGTCCTAGTGCAGGGCAGCACCATGCCCAGCACAGGCTGTGCTGGGGGCTTGCCAGATGCTCAGGACAGGGAAAGCCCAGCCGTCTCCCTGTGAGTTTCCCTGCAGCTGAACTCAGACACTGCTGAACTTTGTTTTGCTCCGAGGCTGAACCTGTCCTGTGATCCTAGAGAGAGTGAGCAAATAAATGCTTTACTTAGGAATACTCTGTTTGTATAAAGAACATTTTAAGAAAACATCTAGACTGTATTTCCCTAGGGATCACAGTGAAGTCTGCATCAATTCCACCTTTATTGATATCTGCTTCTTTGTCCACAAACGCAAATGGGAAGTTGAAAGGTTCCTACTATTTTTGTTGGTTGTCTCAGCACCAGATACAGTGTTCAAGGAGGAAAGTCTCTTCAAAAAGAGCTGTAACATCCTTTGTTGTCAATACATATAGATTTCACTTATTTTAAGATCAATTTCAGCAAATCTTTTCATCCGGTATAGGCAAACAACCAGGCAACTTGGATATTGGAACTGGATGGTCTTTGAGGACCTTTCCAACCCAAGCCATTCTATGATACTATGATATTATTTCTGGAGCCTTCCCAATCTTCAAATCCTGCAACTGAGAAGAAAAAAAACCACCAGCAACAACAACAAAAAATCACAAAACTAATGATACTGTACCTCTATAAAAATAAAAGCTTTCAAAAGCATGAACCGCCCAAAAGCCAGGTATAGATATTGCCAGTGAAAGCTCTTTTATCATAATTTAGCTGCCAACACACATATAAATCATTTACCCAGTTTCAGAACATAAAATTCTCTTTGCCTATCCACAGTGCTGTCTCAGCAGAAGCTCAGATACATAATCCATGATGTTTTTCCCCAGTTTGCCAATTGTCTTCCATTGCCCCAAGTGCAACCTTTCCAAACAGTGAAAACTGGACAAGTATAAGTTAACAAGGAGAAGATCATAAAATCATAAAGGCTGGAAAGACCACTAAGATCATCTAATAGAACCACCATACCACTAAACAACACCACTAAACACAGTGTCTACCCTTTCCTTGAAAACCTCCAGGGACAGTGAAAGTTTTGAAAGATGCAGTTCTGTATTAAAACAAAGTCAATTCTCATCACAAATGATTACTGCTCTCTACATCACTGCGATGGGCAGCTTCTCAGCAGGAGACAGCAAATGCAACCTACAAAGTTAAAAAGTCACCACTGCACCAAATACTCAGGCTCTTGTACAAAGTGCATTCCTACCTCCTCGATCTTCTTTGTATGTTAGTCTGAATAACTTATGCCATCTATTGGCCTCAGCCAGAGACAGATGCTCCGAGGAGAACTTTAATTCTGCAAAAGCAACTACGTTACAAAGGATCTGAGGGTAGATCTGCAAGTTCTGCTAATGGAATCAATACCTTGCCACTACTCTGATCCTGAGGTTCACCTCTCCTGGCTGAATGTGCTTCAGAGTGCAGCTCCCAGAATAACCAGTTAGGTAAAAAAGAGTATTGGCACAAGGCTAGCTCACACTGCTTGGGAATCCAGAGACGGAGCAGCGAGGATTTGCACTCTTACAGAAGCACTTAGGAAAAGTCCTTATTATGATAAGATCCACTTAGATCTAAAATCAGGGAAACTATCTCCAACTCGGTAACTCTGCCTCACATTGGCCATGCAAAGAGACTTCTCTCCCATTTCTGCACCCATAGCTATTTAGTGATCCACGGCTCCTCAAACCGACTTCATTTTTCTATCTAAATGCATTTTTAAAAGGCAAGGCAGAGCTCTGCAATGTGAAAGAGACTCGGAGACGTTCCCTATCGATCCGCTCCCGCACAGCCCATTAGAAGCGGCCGCCCGGCATCACCTCGTCCCCTCCGAGGAGCCGAAGCGGTGCCCACCGCCGGGGCCGCCTCTTTCGTGAGGGAGACGGGGAGCTGCGGGCGTCGCTCGGCTGGAAGCGGGGCTCCCCGACACCGAGCTGCAGCCTCCCTCTTCCTCCTCTTCCTCCTTCTCCTCCTTCTCCACGCCGGTCGTTCGTCCCGCAAAGCGCACAGAGAAGCCATCCGAACCGTTCGGGGCTCTGCCTACCTGGGGCCGCGGGGCTCCGCCGCGCTCCGCCCGCCTCCGCCGCGCTCCGCGGGAGCTGCCGGGGGGGGCGGGAAGGCGGCGGGCGGGCTCCGGCGAGTCCCCACCCCGGCCTCGGGCATCCCCGGCACCTTCCCGGCGGGGCGGGCGGAGCCGAGCTGCCGCCGTCCGTGCGGGTCCCGCACCGCGTCCCGGTGGGTCCCGTCCCCAAAAAGCGCGTTCTGCCTCTCCCAGTCGCAGCCCACCTACCGGCAGTCCCCGCGCTGTCGCGCTCCGGGGGTCGGGGGTGCTGCCGGGCGAGAGGCGCAGGTTGCGCGCTCCGCCGCGGGTCGCTGCGAAGTGAGCGTTCGGCTCTCACCTCCCCGCTTTTGTGCGGCGGCAACGCGCGCTGGGTGACACCGCGAACGGGATTGATCCGCTATCGATTCGCCGCCGCTCATTTGCTGGAGTGGCGAATAGACGGCTGTGCTGTGAGGTGTGATGGGTCCCCGCGTGCTGCGGGGGGAAGTGGTTCCTTTCCGTGCTGTGCCACCAAAGTTGTTTTATTTCTACCTCACCCGAAGCCCAGAGGCAGCGAGAAGTGAGGGCAGCTCCCTGTGTAACCGCGGAGCACAGCCCCGGACCTCGAAGAGTGGTAAACTGCGGCATGAAGGAATTGGACCCAGCGATCCTTATGGGCCCCTTCCAACCCGGGGTGTTCTGTGGTTCTCTGGTTCCATCTCCTGTCAATTCCAGTGTTGGTTTGAAAAATGCTGTGGAGGTTTATGCCTCGCAAATGTTGATGGAAAAGGAAAAAAAAGGAGATGGGAAAAAAAAAAGAAAAAAAGACGATTTTCTGTACTTTTCATAAACTTTTCCAAACTTTTCCTTAAGGAAGCCCCCTAAGTCTGTGTTATCATAACTCATTTGGAAAACAACAAAAAAAGTAACTATTTCCTCCATTTTTTTTCCTAATTAATAAGGAAAAAAAAAACAAACAAACATAAAAACATAAAAAATGTTGCAGTAAATCTTTTCTTCCTTCCTTCCTTCCTGCCTTCCTGCCTTCCTGCCTTCCTGCCTTCCTGCCTCCTTCCCTCCCTCCCTCCCTTCCCCTTCCCCTTCCCCTTCCCCTTCCCCTTCCCCTTCCCCTTCCCCTTCCCCTTCCCCTTCCCCTTCCCCTTCCCCTTCCCCTTCCCCTTCCCCTTCCCCTTCCCCTTCCCTCCCTCCCTCCCTCCCTTTCTCTTTCCCTTTCTCTTTCCCTTTCCCTTTCCCTTTCCCTTTCCCTTTCCCTTTCCCTTTCCCTTCCCCTTTCCCTTTCCCTTTCCCTTTCCCTTTCCCTTTCCCTTCCCCTTCCCCTTCCCCTTCCCCTTCCCCTTCCCCTTCCCCTTCCCCTTCCCCTTCCTCTTTCCCTTTCTCTTTCCCTTTCCCTTTCCCTTTCCCTTTCCCTTTCCCTTTCCCTTTCCCTTTCCCTTTCCCTTTCCCTTTCCCTTTCCCTTTCCCTTTCCCTTTCCCTTTCCCTTTCCCTTTCCCTTTCCCTTCCTGCTTTAATCCAGATAATTCCATTTATCAAGGTTATTTAACATGCATGTCCTCTTGCTGTTGAGTCAACCTAAATGCTGACCAAGCTCTCGTGCTGTTGTGCTCACAGTGATAATTCTGAAGCCTTACAAGTGTCCTCAGTTGTAAATCACAGAATCACAGAATGGCCGAGTTTGAAAGGGACCTCTTAGGGTCCAACCCCTAAGATTGAGGAGGGTGGGGATCTTAAGACAACGTGCGTATTTTTCTCTGCTTGTGTTTTCCAGTGTTCTCTTAAGTTGCTATGCAGAAAGGGTTCTTTTTCTTCCATGTCATGGTATAAAATTGCATTAATAAAAGAATGTTTATCATCTTCTTGATCCATTAATCAGAAAAGTTTCTAAACAACTTCTAAAAATCACTACAGAATATGGATTTCCAAAAACGACGTGAACCCTTCAATGCTGTGCACAGCAATTTGCATTTCTCTTACTTTTTTTTTTTTTTTTTTTTTCTGAAAAACCAGATTCTCCAGCAGTATATTAAATCAAAAGCAACGAGCTGTACAGACTGACATTTAGTTACACAAAGTTTATAAGAAATTAAGGCACTGAATACAGAGTGACTTTCTTGGAACTATCCAAACACAAGCAAATGTGAATAGAATTCTTGAAGATGAATAAGGCCATCTCAGTGGGTCACTTAGGGATCTCAGAATAAAATCTGAAAGAGCCTGCAGAAATAGTGCCACTGCTTTTGGAAATGATGCGGTGGCATAGCAGTCTGTCAGAAGGATACACAACCCAAATCATTACAGCTGAGGATGTAAGAGGCTGGAAACTGCTCAGGGAGGGGAGCAGCTTCCCAGACAGCATGAGTACTGGCCTTTATAGAATAACAGAATCATGGAATTGCTGTGGTTGGAAAAGACCTCTAAGATCATCTTGTCCAACTGTCAACCACCATGCCCTTAAACCACATCCCTCAGTGCCACATCTCCACAGTTCTTCAACACTTCAGGGATGGTGACTCCCCCATCTCCCTGTGCAGCCTGTGTCAGTGCCTCACCCCACACTTTCTGAGAAGAAATTTTTACCTAATATTCAACCTGAACCTCCCCTGAAGCAACTAAGGGCCATTCCCTCTCATCTTATCACTGTTACCTGGGAGAAGAGACCAACCCCCACCTTGCTACAACCTTCTTTCAGGGAGTTGTAGAGATATTCGTTTCCCTAATGCCTGCTGAGGTCTGTGTGGCAAAGGGGGATATGGTGGGCTCATTGCTCAGGTCCACTGATCCTTGTCCTCAGGCATCGCTGTGACTTGCTGGTACATCCCATGGTTGTGCCTGCCGTGTTCTCTCTTGGCATCTCACCCATTCTGCCAAGATGCAACCTGCATTATCATAACTCACAGCTCCTTGCATCAGCATCATCTTGTACTGTTCTTTTCTGGACAACAAGCCTAGTCCCTTGGGGGCAGCACATTTAGAAATGTCAGTTCTCTCCTCCCAGTATTCTGCAGATCCAGAGATCTTCTCTTTCTCATTCACATCAGGAAATAACACAAGACTTAGGAACTGCGTTTATTTTTGTATTTGATGCATCATGGCTCATTTCCACATAAGCAGTACTCAGGCACTGATCTTTCTGAAGGAGCATCTTCCCTTACAAAGCAGTTTTTTCACATGCTTCCACTACAGCACCACAAACTCCCCTGAGCTGTGCTCATGTTGTTACGCAGAGGGCTGACTTGAGGGCTTTGGCAGGTTTCTGCATCTTCATTTGAAAACATTCTCTGGAATTTGCTTTACTCGCTCCTCTGGAAAAGGAGAGAGGTCATTTTTAGTTTCCCAATGGAGGAAAATTTATTGGCAGCTGTTGGTGGTGGGCATGAGCTTAGCTGGCAGCAATGGGAAAAGAGATGGAGGGAAATCCAGGCTGCAGCACTATCACCGTCGTAGCACTGCAGAGGTTTGTAATAGTATAAATAGTACTTACTGTTGCTTATTGGATTAAAAGAACAATGAGATGAAGACTGCTGGGGATGAGTGACATATATAAGGCTGGCCCACAGTATCCTGTAATCTAGCCAAAGGCCAACCAGAAGGGCTTGTATTCTGAAGGAAATCATTATCAATTGTCTGGACTCGTTTTTACAAATATTAACTCCTTCAAAGCTGCTGGTAATAAATTAAGACTAAAACATTGTTTTGAATCCCTCTTAAGATGAAAAGATTTTCACGAGTGGAGGAAATTGAGTGAAAATTTGCACTAGAGAACATATGGCTACATTGCAAGAGATTGCGAGCCCCATAAAATGACCTATTTCCTCTTTATGGCTCTCTGAACCACGTAGTGAGCTCATTCTATTAGGCTGCCAGTGGCTAAACTGAACTGGAAACAGCAAAGCCCTGAGCATTGTTGTGCAGGAGTTTGTTGTTTGTGTAACTCTGCCATCCCAGGGGGGCTGGCCATTTATTCCCCTATTTGTTTCCTTCCCTGAATTGCCTTAATTTAACTAAATTCTGTCAGCACTTAAACCAAGGGGACCCTATTAAAGGCAAATGGACTGCGTGTTCTTCCTCCACAAATGCTCATCATTCAAACTGTCCAGCTGTGGGATGAAGTGGGAGTCACATTGCCCTAGGTTGTCTCTTGGAGAAAAAAAAGAAAAGAAAAGAGGAAGCAATTACAATGGCAATCCCTCTGTCAGCAAGAGTCAAATTTGATCTGCCCTGCTCCACACAATCCCACCCACTCTGCTCCAGCCTGCAAGGAGACACGTGGGACAGGCACTGCAGCATGGCTGCTGCTCCATGGCCACCACTAGCTAGCACAGGGGATTCCCACTTGCTGCACAAGAACCCCTACAGATCACAGCTTATCACTTTCCTATTGGCTGTCATGTTTTTGAGTGCAGGACTTCAGATTTCATTAGCCACCCCAGTTGGATGCAGATTGTTTCCTTCCACTGAGTTCTGTGTGTGCTTTGCATTTACACCCACAGAGATTTGGTCCTCCAGCTCATACCAATCAGAGGAACTACTGTTGTAAGATGTTTTTACATCATCTTCATGGAGAGGTAGACTGGGAACAGAGCATTTCTGTGCTTGTGTCCCCAGTCTGAGGGCTGCCTACAATCCTGTGATTTATCAGTGTCTATTTATAACTTCTGCTATTTAGTTTGAGCAGACAAACTCTTTGAGAAAGCAGCATCATATGGTGCAATGCAGCTCCTTCAATTCATTAATTGCATATTTCCAGTGATAACAAAGTACCACCAAAAAATAAAATTTTAAGAATTTGTGAGGCTGTGACTTGAGGAAATGGTAAATCTGCTGCAGAACCAGAACTTGGAGCTCCAGAGGTTTTGCTGTGTTTTGAGTGCTGATTTCGGTAATGGTCAGAGGGGAACACTGCTAACATTTCAGTTTAAAAGTATCCATAATTTTTTCTAGGAGTATGTGAACCATCCCAGGCCTTC